CAAAAATAGGTATTCATACAACACCATTAATCATACTTCTAACTTTATTTATGCAGCTTTTTAAGATTTAGCGAAGAAAAATACTATCGTTATGACCATTTGAACTGGTTGGCATTACGTTATTTCTAAATTATAGCTAGCATACGATATTAAAATTATCGGTTGCAGCAGGCATCTGATTCAATAAGCTCACCCGATAGATTAGTTTCGCAGAAGACACCAGTGTGAAAGGGTCTACAACTATAGATTGATTATAAGGTTAAAATTGTATGTAGAATTAGTAAACTCACACACTATGCCGTATGTGGTAAGCAAAAATTTAGTTAGCTGCTAAGGAATAAGTTGAAATTATGCTATGCACATTTTACTGATAATATGTCTATCAAAATTAAAAGTTCTGGCTGATACTTCTTTAGAATGAATTCGTAGATTACAATAAATTAAATTATCATTTATACTGCTGGCTTTGTAAAGGTATTTCTACTTGCCTACAGACAGGAACCGCATTTATGATATTACACTTTCCATTGTCATTACATTGGAGAGGAGAGCAAGGGATGCCTGTAAGATAATGATTAATTTAAAATGTCTAATAGATTATCTATGAAAAAGATAGCGTATATAGAATATCATGAATTTATTGGTTGTAATTTTTCTACAATTATAACAAGACTTAAAAAGACGTAATAAGAAGTTCAAGCTACAGTTAAAAATATATATGCTTAGTATTGGCTATTGCTAATCGATTTTTAGTCATATCGGTGATCGAGCTAACGAATTCAGCCACGTCACTATTAGCTATCCATACTGGAAGATATAAATTAAATTTTATGAAGCTGTAGCATAGATAAAATTAAGATATGCGAAGAAATCCGTCATTAATACAACTGCCACAGCCAAAAGAATGGTATATCACTTATGTTTGTATAAATATATTGTGACACTGTAATTCATGTTATAAACTATCAAAAATTAGGTTTCAAAATTTGATTTTTATAATATTATAAATATACTATTAACTAGATCACGGCAGATTTTTAAATTTAAGTTGGTAAAAAAATGAGACATTTCGTGCGTTTAAATATACCATACCTATGATTAAAAACTTACTAATATTAATGATGTTACTTTTAACTACTTTGCCGGTAGATGGCTGCGTTGCGGAACAGCTATAGGCTCCAGTGTCCTTGGGTGATTGTAATATGAAGGACAATGATGATTTAACTTGATAATATTCTTTGCCTTGTATCGAAATGACGGAATATTTATTCCCAACGGCTATTAGGATATTATTTTTACTCCAGCTAATAGATGATAGAGGATAAGAAGGAGCTTCACAGTCTAATCTAACATACTGGCCAACTTTATATGTCGTGATGTCGGATCTTACAACCACGAATCTGAGTGGTATACCTGTAGTTAAATTGTTGTTATCAGACAAATTTATTAAACAGTGGGATGCAGTAATGGTTTCAGCTAATTAGAGTAGTTATGTATACAGATATCGTTGCTTGCTACTTTGTTGTAATGTGCCGAATCAATAAAGAAAGTATATAATAATAGAATTGAAAGGGTAATGAGGGAAATGGAGCCACTAAAAGATGGAATTATACGATAATAATCACTTACTGGATATTGTCTATATCCAACAGTAAGAGAATACTTACTTGGCATAATTGACTCGCAATAATGTCCAGTGAATCCAGATTTGCAATGACTAAAAATTAAGTCGTCAAGAAGATTCGTAATTAATTCGTAAATTTACACGAAGGAAAATAAATTATTTGTGCAAATACCTGCATGATGGTGAACCGTTGACCATAGAGCAATACCCATGATTACTGCAAAATTCTGGTGAGCAAGTAAATTCTGAAGTAGAATCAGATTAGTACATTTAGAGTTTGACCATTAGTTTAAATTAGTATAGGTATTAAAAATTGGATTATTTATGGACATAGAACGCAAGTCCTCTGATTATTCCATAGTCTATCAGCCAGTGAGTAGTATATCATCCATTACTTTATACTTGTAGTATCTGAATCCATATAAGTGATAATACGATAGAATACAGCTCATGTGTGTACTTGTAAGTTTAATTTTTAAGTCTTATTATATTCAGTTAAATGTAACGGAAACTATTTAATGTCTTTAGATTGTTATAATTTTTAAAGAAATAATACTTACGAATTGTGACTGAGTTACTTCGCACAATCTTGCCCTTTGAATCCATACCATTGCATCTATAGACACCGATATTTTCATGAACGACAGGATTGAAGTGTAGCGCAGATTCAGCAATGAATTCTGACATGCTACTTGTTCCGAAATTGATATTATCATCGGCGGATATTGGAATACCATTTTTTGTCCACGATATTTTTGCTAATGGGTATGCGTATGCCATACATTGTAAAGATAGTTGCTGCCCAATAAGGTGAGTAGTAGCATTGGCTTTTAAGGTTATCTGTGATAAAGCAATATCTGTAAAATGAAGAATATGGAATAAAATAAATCAAGATGGAGAATGACTGTTCTGATACAAGTGGTAACAGCTGCCGTACTTAAATAACGAAAATCGAATGTAGAACATGCATCCAGGGAATAGCAACAATGTATCAAATTAAGCTTTGATCTTACGGATTAGTTTTAAAGAAAATCTTTTAATTTTACAGCTGTTATTTTGATGCTTTACCTCTAACACATTCATTCCCATTCCAATATCCTGAATCACACAAGCAAGTAAAGGTTACCACAGGCTGAAGTATGTCAATGCATGTCGCTCCATAACTTCCACAGGGCGAACTGAGACATGCGCTAACGTCTAATCATGCGAGAAAATTAGTTGTTTAAAATACTGAAACTTACAAAACGTGGAAGATATTAGTAAACTTATTCGTAGCAATTATTCTCAACAATCGATTTCCTAAATTGTATATTAAGATGTTGATACTCTGACATTATGATTGTTGAAATTTTGTCTAATGTAACTGCTGCCTTTGTATAGTTTTTTGTTCATAATGAGCAATCTAGTTTAAACGAAATGTGCATACATTGACTTATGTTTAATGTTCAAGTAAATTTGGTTATTTTGTTTCAATAGAAATTAACCTAATTACTGGTACAGTCCTTACAAGATGGGCTTAACTCGATATTATTTATTATACCACTTTTTGACTTTGAAATGTCCAAACTATTTTACTGATTACCGCAACTACAGATTTTATCCGTACTTGAAAATTATTTATTTATTATCCTATATAAATTAATTTTTGATGGTTAGCCATGATATTATGCTAGTAAATGCAAATAAATACACTTTTAATAATTGTTAATAAATACGAATTTACTTACCGGTGTGGCATATATAACTATTCAATTATTCGGTTGCATAAGAATAAAAGAGATTAGTATGATTTGCGAAAGAGAGGTAATTTTACTAAGTTTAATTAGAAATCCTAACGTTTCAATTTTTATTTGCATAGTATAATCAATTAAATTTAAAAAAACGAAGATCATTTACTTGGAAGGGAGCTGCGTATTACCATTAATGCTTGCATCTAGAGGTTGATCTATACATTTGAAGTCATATGGAGTCATTATAAAATAATTAAAATTTGTCGATTGAGCAATGTATCATACTGCTAGTATGTCGTCCGAAAATGTATTTTTTATCACAACTTACCGATACAGAATGCTTGAGCACTCATGGTGGCAGAACATTGCGATAGATCATTGGTAGTATTACTTTGTGGGCAATTAGCAAGATTAGGCTCGTTACCCAAGCAATCGATTTTTCCAATAATTGTTGGCATATTACTCGTGCCGCAACATTGGCTACGTAACTGCGTGTCAGCGAATCCAAGTTGACGACATGCTACTTGAGCATCTTGGAAATGCCAAAAGTTAGTACATATCTTACCCCAAACTTGGCCGTTATAAATTTCAACTTGGCCTTGATTATACGATGTAGAACTTGTTAAGCGGATTCCTATCACGGTAGAATCTAAGTATGGATAGGATATTAATCCTTTGTATTACATCAAAACCTCGCAATAGTTTTCTATTTATGCCTAACAGTATTAAATAGTCAAGCTTTCATAGTAATATGGCATGTGTTATAATGACGATGGTTGCACCCAGTAAGAATATATTAATTGAAGTCATAAATTTAATTTTAATTATTCACAATTATCAAAGTGTGATGCTTTACTTCAGGATAATATCTATGGAATTGGTAATGCCGTTGTAAGTAATATGTTTCATATATATGTGATCTATATTAATATACCACACCTTTATTTCTAAACTTTTGATTTGTCGAAATACTTACAAAATAGGCAATTATATCCGCTGTAACCGACTGGACATTCACATGTATAATATCCGAGAAACTCTTTGCAGACAGCTAGTCCTCCGGCCATGGATTGACAAGGATTACTGGCGCATTCATCAATGTCTGGTAAGATCCAATATAAACAAAACCTTGTAGGATTAATTTGTTTTATGCGCTTTACAATTACGGTATTAGAACGGTTAACGAAGTTGAATAAAATATATCAATTTGTTACTTTATTGACGACAAAATATACATATGCTCAAGTAAGGCAGTTTCGTGAAAGATAGCGCTAATAGGTTAGATTTGTAGAAGAACTAATTTATATGCACGTACATAGTGATGTTAATAAGAAATTAAATTTTCGTCATGTTATTTCTGAGACATTTTTTCGCATAGCACTTCTATAGTAGTAAAGTACAATCTTGTATAGTATACTGTATCATATTAACGTTTCTGGCTTTAGTTACCGATTTCACAATTTTTGCCAGTATATCCCTTATTGCACTGGCAGATATACTCGTGGTCTTGTGCAAGTGCTACGCAAGTACCTCGGTTATTACAGGTTCCATTTTTGATATCGCAATAATGACCTATGTTTGAAAATTGAATAAAATAAAGCGTTTGATATCTAAACGAGTAATCATTATAAGATAATCACATCGATTTAAATGGCTTTTGAATGCTCACTACTGCATCTAATGGTTGCATCCATGCTGTGTGTGCAAGTTGCGTTGACAGGTATATTTCGAAGGCAATCTAATGGCGAAGCTTCATCACCGTTACAGTTTAAGCTGTCAAAAAGGATTTTTCCATTACCACTACCATAGATAGTAGATGAATAGATAGTGGTTGCATTACCGAAACCAGCTGCTCTGCATATGACTGTTGCATCAACTAGATCAAGACCAATATTGCATACTGTGCCCCAAACGCCATTTTGGTAAATTTCCACAAAACCTATTCCAGCGAATTTGCTACTGCCATTTATTCGAATTGCCCCATTTGATACTGCTACAAATTGGCAATTATCACCATAGTATCCATTGGGACATTGACAATAGTAAGATTCTCCTTTTGAAGCAGTAAAGCATGTTGCATTACTAGGGCATAAATTTGCAGAGCACCAATTACCTTCGCATTCCACACCAGCTTCCTCATCACTGATGCAATTATGATATCCCCATCGTCTATGTTGACAATTGGATAGAAAACTTTCATTACCAACACATTTGACATCATCTAGCCAATATTTGGTTATGTTTGAATTATATCTTGAGCAGCAGTAGTACTTGCGGACTTTAGTAAATCCAAGCTGTCTGCATGCAACATCAGCTGCTTTCAGATCGAAATAGTCGTCGCAAACGGAGCCCCAGGTACCATTGTAAAAGATTGCTAAGTTTCCAGTATACTTGTTGGGTCCACCGATTAATTTTAGCGGCTTTCCATGAATTACTACAGTAATTTTATTAAACAATTAGCAGGGAATTTTTTACGCGGGAGCACTGCGTAGTGATAAACTAAAATAATTAACTAACTGCATGAAAGTTCAAGTCGTTATTTATATGCTTACGTTAAATTGCATTTACCTGTTTCGCAATGTTTACCGGTGTGTTCAGGTTCACAATTACATTGATAAGTTGTGGGTGATTTTGTAGTACATGTGCCTCTTGGACATGGAGATGAGTAACATGGATCATCTAGAATCGAAGGTTGTGGCGGAGTACAGACTCCGTCAATTAATTGTAGCATTAGCCTTAGTAATTAGTAATTAAGATTATATTAATTGTTAATAACATTTATTTATTGGGTATGGGATAATTGTAACATTATTAGTAGTCTAGTTATACTTGTTGTAGACTCTGTGCAGAGTAGTGTATTTACAGAAATGATAACTAATACTAATTTCTGTTGCTTTGTGCTGAGCCTTTGATTGTTAATTGGCTCTTAATTAGTTCATAACTCATTAGTGTTGTTTACGCCGTCTGCCATACTAAACCATATAGACAATCGGCTATACAAAAGCTGTATACTTTTAGAGTTGTTTACCTAAGCTGTGCACCGAGTGCAACCGGGCTAGGGTATATAAAGCCCAGCGCTCTCACTAGCAGTACAGTTGTCGATTGATCGTGTAGTTAGAGTAGTCTTGGATGGCAAGATTACCTTGGTTCAATAAACTATTTTAAAAGCCTGAGACTAGTCTACACTTAGCCCGTTAGGGCATACTTGGCTGTTATAGCCTTAGTATTCGTACAGCTTCAAAGGCCCAGGTTTCCTTGTCGTGGGCTGATCACGACAAAGGTGCATTGGAGTGATTAATTTGTAATTTTTTTTAAGGTAATAAATAAATCAATCTAAATCAACGCAACATACCGGCACATTGAATTCCGACCAGACTAAAGTAGTCGCAAGATGGAGAGATCTTTGTATTTAGTTTACAGTCTAAGATGGAAGTTTCATTTCCGGAGCATAGAATACCAGCTGTAAATGAAAATGTGATAGCATATACCGACGATAAGATGGCTTGAAATTACAACTAAGATAATCTAGCCGTAGTAGTAGATTTTACTTGACATCTAAATTAGTTCCGATGATGTTGTGATCTACATCTACTGTATAAATATTTTTGTGAAAGAATCTATTGCTACCATTTCCTTTCTAACAACGTTCAATTACTTCTCTATTCTCGAAACATCGCTCGTGTTCATTTTACAGCTAATAATTTCATGATAGAATGATTACTATATCTTTCATTATTACTACGCTATTGCTTTGAGATAGGAAATTGTTTTACTAATTCTAGCAAACAGAATAAATTTGATCGGATCCATAGAAGCGAGATATTACAGGTCATGAAATGTATAGCACAGGTAGTAAAAGTCATTCCTATTGATTCTAATATAGTATGTTAAGTAAATATACTATAAATTATGATCTTATGATGGCAATTTTATTATAAAAACGTTGGCGAAGTTTATCCCATCTTAAAACGTTAATAAATTGCTAATTCATAAAATAGCTAAATAAAAGAATATACTTGCATCTCTAACTTACAATAGAATATTTTTCCTGTGACATGACCATAGAAGCTCCTCTGGTAGCGATTTGCCATATAAGGATAATTTAGCTTCGAACAAATAAGCGAAGCAGCCGCGTTATTGAAGGTATTTTGATCACAGACACTGCCCCAAGTTCCATTGTGATATATTTGCAGCGTTCCTGCCATTACATTATTGCCTTGAGAAGATGTAAGCCTAACATCGCCTTCAGTCGCTCCTAAGTAAGCATAATGCTAGCTATTATTATACGCGTAAGTGCGCTCACGATACTTTATCGCAATGTTCTAATTATGATGCTAACTAGCGTATAATATATGGCTACTACGAATAATTTCAAGTTCTTTTACAGTTCTAACTAACTTTCTGTACAAAATCTTCCATGAAATCCTGGAGGACAATAGCAACTATATCCGTAAGGATGATCCAAACATGTGGCAGAATTACCACAAGGGTTATTATTGCATTCAATTTCTGTAATTTAAAAAGCAATGACATGTAATTATCGGTTATATTATAAACATTGAAGTCTATAGTGGCTTAGAAAATTTAATGTTTACAATGCAATATTATGAAATCTTCTTATCACAACGTTAATTAATCACGATCATCAGCACCTACTTATATAAGAACTAAGATTTGAGATCTACTGTAAAAATACTAAATTTATGCATCTACAACTTTTTAGCGGATATCAATCTAAAATTAATTGATATATTTACGAATAATGAATTGAGTAGTCTCTAAATAAAATATCTTTAGAGGTTATTTTCATGCCAAACTACTGTACTTCAAAAAAGCTTAGCAGGTTTTATTACAGTGAAGAAAGATAGTGTGATCACGATAGGATCTTATAATTACTTAAATAAAGTTTCATACTATTTTTTAGAAATATTTTCAAATGGATAGCAATCAACTCCCCAAATTTTATAATTGAAATTAATACACGTGACCAGCAATACTGCATAGTATATTGTTGTTCTGCAGCTATTTTTTTATTGGCTCATCCTAATATATCATAAATTTAAATAATTTATATTTAAAAAGAAGCTTACTTGATGAACAATCTTGGCCAGTGTAGCCAACGATGCAGACACAAGAATAAACGTTTATGTCGCCATTTACTAAAGTGCACTTTCCCCTTGAACTACAAGGGTTGTTTGAGCAAGCATCCGCTGTTATAAGAAATATAGAAGAAATTAGGATGTAAGCTGTATAATAAACTGTACTATCCAGTGAAGATTAGCAAATGGGAAATACAAGAGTAGTGCAGTGAAATGGACTTGTAATTTATTAATAATTAGATGACCAGTATGGCATAGCTAATATAGTCGGGATAATTTAGAATTACAGAGTACAGTTATTATATTGTATAAACTCCAGTATTATGTAAAAGTGATTATTCACGATTGATTTTATAGAATATAAAATTGGTATCGTAGAAATAGAGTTTATTTCAGGGCTATTAAAATTCTATTCTTATTTAATTCTGTAAATATTAGAAAATGCTGTAAGCTTTAGTAAGGTCACGTATCCTAGTAGATTCAGATTTTATTATAAATTAAGATATGATGATCTATTTAAAATATGATTAGGGTTGTAGAAGCATTTCTCATTGGATTTAGATTCGGCTTAACTGATACAAAGATTTCTTTACAAGGATAGTATAAAAGATACTGTTGCTTACAATACAATATAGTAAAATTTTTGGTAAAACCTTTACTTTCTATATTTGGATTATTGGTCGCTAATAATTACTAATAGGTGTAGAAAACATTACTGAATTTCAGATGTGAGACTGTGAATATTGGTAAGTACGGTAGTTTCAAATTCTTTTTAAGCTCTTCTTACAAATATATCAAATTACAAGCCGGAATATAAAATTAATATATGAGTGGAAATGTTATAAATCAAATTTGCTGTTTTAATAAGCTGCTGTATCTGTATACTTGCTTTATAAATGCGATTCATTATTTAATGAGGCAGTGTACCTGTACATTCGAGTCCGACAACGTCATTGGATCTGCACTTAATGTTATCAAATGATTTAATTTTACAATTTGCCAGTCTTGCTTCACTTCCATTGCAGGTTACACTGTTTAGCCAATAGCTTCCAAAATATCTCCCATCCCATCGTCTCTGTTTTAATCCCCAAAATCCTAATTGCCTACAGGCAACCTGGGCTTCTCTGTAGGTGAATTCATAATTGCATACAGCTCTCCATTTATTCTTGTGAAAAATTTCTAAGATGCGTGTTTTGCGTGAGTAATTCACCAAGCGTAAGGCCAAATCGCTTACTAACAATTAGCAGAAGATAATTAATAAGTGCCTGTAAGCATCTACCATCCAAATGTATAACAAATTTCTCTATAATATATTAGGATATTTATATATAAATATTTATTTACTTGTGCATAAAATTCTTCGTAACGTATATGTATGGTACCGGTAGATATTATCTACGTTAGAAGATGATACAAGGCATTCTATTATAACATACCAGATACACAATGTTTCCCGGTGTACGGTGATTTACATCGACAAATATAGTTTGTAGAGTCTGCCAAACAAGTTCCTCCATTTTGACAGGGAGATCGTTGGCATAGCTTTGCTAGAATTTTGTTGTACGAGTGCAATAATTAGAGTTATACAGATTTAGTAAATAGAAATACTCCAGAAGTGTATAGCAATGCTAATGTGATAACCTCATATATTAAAAAATTGAGGATGCTGTCATTCCTAACAATCATTAACTATAGTGTCATTTGTCACCGATCTCCTTAATTCTCCATTACTTACTGCTGCATAATATGCTGACATCATTGGCATGAGAACAATCAGATTTCTCAATATTAACCGGTTGGATATTGCAAATTCTAACATTCGGCTCATTGCCACTACAGTTAGTCGACAAAACGACAGTGTTACTGCCTTTACCAAAATATGCATCGGGCATAAACTTAGAAAATGTAAGATTTAATTGACGGCAGAGAACCATCCCATCGTTAACAGTTACTAATTTACTACATAATGTTCCCCATTGCTTGTTATGATAAATTTCTACTCGGCCTTCGGTAGTATTAGCGCCATTGAGAAGACGAATATCCCCTTGTATTGCCGGTCCTTCAAGTTTAGTAGGATCATAATCGAAACATATTAATCAAAGAAGTTCAGAATAATTCAAAATTTGATGAAACTTTTTGTCCATATTCTGGATCTAACCTATGTAGTTTTCACAAAGTATCCCAGAGTAAAATGGGGTGCATATGCATTTGTATCCATAAAACATATTTTTGCATGTTCCACCATTGCTGCACGTTATTTCAGAACAAGGATTTAGTACTACAATAGATAAAATGAAATTAAAAAGGCTTGATTTTAATTTTAAATTGATTATTTGTTAAAGTATACCTAGTCTAGTATTGTATTGATAGAATAAGAGATACAAGTTACCATTAGCCGGTATTAGAAATATACTATTATCCTTTCAGCTTTAACACAAACTTACATTGATTGCATATAATAGCAACATCATTGCTATGATCACAAACAGACTCAGCACTACTTGAATCATATTGGCAAGCAGTTAACGATGGTTCATAACCAGAGCAACGAACATTAACCATGCCTATCTTTCCAGTTGCTGAGCTATGATAGGAGCTGATGTAGTTAGCTTTGGCCCAGCCAAGTTGCTGACAAATAACGTTGGCAGCACCTTCGGAGAAATTTCTATGGCACACGGTTTGCCAGCTGCCTTGCAAAAAAATTTCAACGCGACCAAAAGACCCATCACTATCAGCTTCTGGAATGATATTAGCGTCACCATTTTTAGGTGGACCTGTAAAATTAGGTTATTCTCAGTACGGTGATTCTAATTTGAATTAAATAAGTTAAATTTAATAACTAGACTTTATTTACTTATTGATTTACCGTGATAATATCACGTATACAAACACTAGGACAATATCGTTTAATTCTAATTATGAAAGCTTGTAGTACTTTTTATCTTTATTGATGATATCATTAGTAAATCTGAAAATTAGCCGCTCAAAAATTACAGGTGCAATATTATTTTTATTGATTAATTATTAGTATTGATGTATTCGTAGGGAGTTTTTCAAACACTATTTAGTAAATAAAATGCACTATAGCTATCTTATTCGATTTATCGCGATGAAGAAGTTCACTAGTTAATATAATGTATCATTTTGTAAATATCGTCAGCGGAATTATGCTTACTTTAAAGTTAAATTATATTTCTTAAAATGCAGTCCCGTAAATATTCGTAATCACTAATTTTCGCCAATAACTACCGAATGATATTTCAATAGAAATAATTTTAAATTACAGTAAAAAAAATTTGTGGTTTGTGTTCAGTGAGAGATAAAGAAATAAGTGTAATGAACATGACTAATAACCGTAAAGCTTATTTAAATAAATTACTGAATTGACAGAGTAGCTGGAATGCGACATTTAAAGCATTTCTTAAAAGATTAAATTAATTAAAACTATAGCCTTACCGTGTTCACAACGAATTCCATAGTAATTATTGAGACACTGGCATTTGTAATAATTGAATAAATTGGTGCATAAGCCACCGTTCATGCAAGGTTCACTATCGCATGATGTTTTGTATTGACAGAGACGCCCATGATAGCCAGGATTACAATGACAAAATTGGGTATAGTAAGTTTTACCATCCACTTTGCTACTGTTATATCTGCATTGCCCATGAACACAGTTATTTGGCTTGCAAGGAGTGTCTGGAACGTACAAAAACGTATTTGTATTAGTTATTTCCAGATTAATATCAATAATTTTAGTGTAACTTACTAGAACAGGCAATGTTTGTGCGACGGTAGCAATTAATCCCATTTAAGCCGTATGTAAATCTGCATTGGGAAATTTTAGTTTCATTTCCAGTACATTTCATACTGTAGACCCAAACTTTATGTATGTTACTGCAACATTCTAATGAAAGAGATGTAACATAACCCAGTTGCCGGCAGATTACATTAGCTTCGGTAGTTGTTATTTTATCGTGGCAGAAGGCACCCCAGACTCCTTCGTGATAAACCAAGGGTGTTCCTTTCACAGTATGATTGATATTTGATGTTGCGAATAATGCTAAAGTTCCATCTGCCCTAGGAACTAATACAGGATGATTAAAATAACGAATAGCGTGAGTTTGTTATTATTTTAAATTCATAATAGGACTTGATAAAGCTGATGTTATGCGTAAAGGAGGACTGTGTAATGCAAGGATGGGTCGTAACTAACCAATAATGGCGATAACCTACACAAATGATTTGATAAAATACTGTATGCAATATAAATGTTGTTAAAAGTTAGGTATTATTATTAAGAATAAATAGATTTAAAAAAAATTATGCTATCCTATAATTCGCCTGAAAGAGCTTGTGATAACACTTTGTTTGATTTACGCAAATATTTTGAATGAAAATAGGTTTCCTAATATTCAGTATTGGATGACGAAGGACATTATTACGATGATAAAGATAGTAGGAAAATATCGTTACCGTAAGAAGAACTGATGTGAATTTAAGAAATTTATTTTACATTCTACGATAAGGGATATCTACCGATAGGAGTTTGGCACTTGCTTCCAGTATAACCAGCTTTACAGTAGCACGTTGATCTATAAAAGGCATTGGATTTACAGTATCGGTTTATTCTGCTACACAGATTTACGGCTGTATTTCCGCAATTGCTGCCACCTAAGGATGATGAATAGTGTAAGTCAATGAAAGAATAGAAATGAAAATTTTATTTTCTATTTATTAGCTATCATGTAGCACGAAATTTCTACCAATTGACAGTTAAGGAAGAATTACCATAGCAAGAAATATATAAATCTTGCGAATGATTTTGGCAATATTGTGGCACATTATACCAACCGCCGGTATTACATCCAGTAATTTTCCATTCCGTTCCTAAACATCTAACGTTATGTAACATGACGGGACCATAGCCGAAAAATGTTGTTCTTTGGCCTTGAGCGGAATAATATCCATAAAATCCTAGTAGTAGGCAGATTTTTTTGTAAGTTGTCGTGCTGAAACCAGAGCGGCAAAGTACTCCCCACGTGCCGTTATGGTACACTTGCACTATTCCTTTACGTTCACTAGTACCAGCTAGTCGTAGATCTCCGTTCTTTGCAGTATTACCTAAATTGCATAATAGGGATGAAATGGGAGCATTAACTATTAAATTCGTGTTATCAAAATACTATCTTGCTTCTTACCTGAACAAGATAGAGTTAAGTCAAAAGAATGTCCACATCTGTCACGTCCATGTACTGCCAGAACTCGGTACGCGCAATCTTTAACTGAATTTTCATTACCTTTACAATTAAGTTGATACGAGGCAGCATTTGAGGCACTTTGACCAAATACAGGTGTGGGAAATGCATTTGCGAAAGTGTAACCCAATTGTTTACAAATAACTCTCATATCATTTAGAGATGTTTTGCGAAGGCACACGGCGGCCCAGTTATTATGTAAATAAATTTCCACGCGCCCGCTTAATGGATTAGTGCCGTTGACCAGACGCACTGAACCAAGTATTGGACCTTGAAATTTAGAATGTTAAATTCTATTAGTAGTAAGCCTATTACGTTCTGGTCTAGTAAAAATATGTATTAGCATTAAACATTAACATTGAAGTTGTTTAATATCTTTGTTTACGGCAGGATTATGTGACTGTTGAAGGAATATTTGACTGCTTTGGCTTAGAGGGTGAGAGTTTTTGCCAAAATCGTTTGAATGATAATGTACTGCACTGTATATCGTAACTTTAATAACAAGTATTGTTTATAGCTCCTTTATTTACTGTCATGGTGAGCTGTTACAGTTTGAAAAAAAACCTACTCGATGAAAGTTGACAGTTTTTGCCCTTAAACTGGTTTGTACATTTGCAATAATATCCGTAAAATCTAGGTAAACATGTGCCACCGTTAGTACACGGATTTGAAGAGCACGGCTTTATTGCTAGAGAAATTGATAAATAGCAAATGCTTGTAATTAATCATAAAAGTTTTTTTTGAATAAACATTAACTGATCGTAGATCTACTTTTTCTAATTAAATTGAGAATTGATAAATACTTGAACAGTAGACTCCGGCAAAATTGTGGAAGCAATATGAACTTCTAGACGGATTACTTCCAGGACAATCGAATATAGATGACTCGTAACCTGTACATTTCATATTTATCATTCCAGATGATGTAGGTGGTATTCCAAACGCTGTACCTGTAGTAAAACTTGTAGCACCTGCAAAACCAGCTTGCTGGCACACTACATGAGCATCTAATAATGAAAAATAGGTAGAGCAGATAGGTCTCCACAGACCATTATAAAAATATTGAGGGCGTCCAACATTAATATCATTTGGTTTTCCTTCGACTATGACTAAGGTGCCGTTTAGTATTGGTCCTACAGTAAGTAAACGCATAAAGGTTACTGTAAGTTTTATTGGCAAACATTACAGTTCGTAATCGTAGAATGGCATATTAAATAACTTATAAAGTGTTGATTACAGCATGCATATATACATTTATAAGAGTATTTAAATTTCTATGAGTGTAAAAGCCTTCGCTTTACCCTTTTCGCATGTTTTTCCCAGATAGCTCGAGGTACATTTACACGAAAACGATATTGAATCCAAAAGCGAACAAATACCTCGATTTTGACACGGATTTGGGTTACAGAAATTCTTATACTGACAATAGTCGCCGTAAAAGCCCTCTATACATTGACATTGGATAGCAATCGCGCTAATCCCAGCGACAGAGGTTTGATTTAGAGAACAATTACCGTTATTAAGACATGGATTTGGCTGACAACTGGCATCTAACAATTCAATTAATGGAAAAATAAAGTTGAGCTGAATACGATTAAAATGCTACTTTAGCAATTGCATTATATAATTTTTAATCAGACTTACTGATACATTCAACTTTATAACGACTACAAATAGCAGCGTCCGTTTTATATCGATATAAGCAATCTGTTATCTTAGATTCATTGCCAAAGCAACGCATTGAGCTAACCCAAACTTTCAGTGACGGTATTCTACGGTCACAGCAATAAGATCTTCTATAACCAATAGTATAACCCAACTGCTTACAAGCAATTACAGCGATTCTTTCGCTATATTGGTAACAAACTGCTCCCCAAGCGCCATTATGAAAAATTTCGATTGCTCCTTTCGCCGTATTAATTTGAGAGGCTTTAGAAACATTATACCAATCATATACACGAATTGAACTTTCCAGAGGTTGAGTGACTGTCGAAAATAGTTAGATATTGTGGTTATTTTCGTTTTTTATGTATTTATAGCGCTTTACTAGATTATAATATATACGGATTCCAAGATAAAGTCATATATACTTAAGAAAGTAATTTCTGTGCAAAATGTAAGTTCTGTTTTAACCTATAAATAGCTTACTGATTGGAATTGTACAATTTTCGCCTGTGTAGCCATATCTACATACACATTGACCAGCAGAAGGCAATCCTTGCGAACGGCGACAAATTTTGTTTTCAACGGCACAAAGTGCACTCTTGTCCGCACTACAAGAAAGTGCAGCTGTATAGGAATGAATTTTTTGTTTTGAGTAATTATTGCATTAGTAATTAGGTTAATTAGCCAATCGATAATGGCGATATAAAGTTCATTAGACTAAGCTAATAATAGTAAAACCATATGACAGGTATAGCCACTCTTGTTGACAAATACACAGTAGACAATAATATTATACGACAGTATACCGGTATTACCTATTACTATGAATGTAGTAGAATGAGAATTATCACTTTTATACAATGTTACTATAAGTATATACCTAAACTGAAATTATATCTAATAATAACTGTCGTGTTGCTAAAAAAGTATTGGCTTTAAATTTTGATTTTGAGGAATTTACAGTTTTCGCCATTAGTTTGACACAAATCTCCAATCTAACCGTTTATATGCCTGTTACCGTCCAAGTACGAAATCCAGTCAATTCGCGAAATGCCTAGTCAATTCGCCTAGTCAGTTCGCGAAATGCCTAGTCAATTTGCGAAATGCCCAAATATATTTCTTTGCTGATTGTGTCAATTCGCTCGCGAAATTTGTAGCTTTTGAACAAATTTACGACATTCTAGCAGTATCTAGCTCATAACAATAACACATAGCACATAACAACGGGGAAAGGCCGGGTACTGCCGGGAATGAACAGTAACTTCGGTCAATCCCGGGATTGGCCGGTTATTCCCGGAAATTCCCGGCCTATCTCAGGAATGAAAAACATGCCCATTCCAGTATAATGTATTGAAAGTCAAACCACTATCGTCACGGAAAGGTCTGTAAACTTCCCTTACAATAGATTAATCTGTTGCGAGCTATTAAAGTCTATATACTTACGTCTACATCTGACAAAGATTAAGTCATCATTGGGACATTCAAGAGAATGGTTGCCGATATTGACGTAATTGCACATCAGAATTGATGATTCACGACCACTACATAGTATGTGATCTATTAAAGGACTGGTTTCTGCTGCTTTCGATTTATACTTGTGATACATGTTTACACCAAAGTAGCCTAATTGTCTACAAATGACATTAGAAACAAAGAGGTTGTAATAGTGTTGCAATTGCAGACAAATTCCTCCCCAAACACCATGGTAATAAACTTGAGCTAATCCGGAACCAGCTCTATCCGAGTCAATCAGGCGCACGTCTCCGTTTTGCTCAGGTCCTATAATAAATTTCGTACGCCTTTGCTTTTAGTATCTTGCGAAGTTTGCGATAGTAATCGATTGTAAGATATACGAAGGTTTCTGACTTCAATTTTGTTAGTTTCAGCTGTCGGAGTATCAGTACTTCGTGAGCTACTACACGACAGCCTAGATAACGCCCTACAGTAACTGCTATACTCAATATAAATTGGAATCTCTAATAATGAATATGTTTTCTACTGAAGTCTTAGTATAATTTTCGGAAATGGCGCCTATTTCCGCTCATGCCTGTTCATTGAAATATTTATCACAATTACGAAAAACTTACCCTATTGCAAAGTTAAGTGTAAACTACAGAGGTAGTAGTCTGGCGGAAGCTGTTATTCATTTCAGAATATCAAGCAACCAAGTAAAGTAAAACTAAGCAATTTATTTGTTAAGTACGTACTATACTATAGTGCAACAAACTGGCATAAAATAAGACTAATTGTACCCAATGTAGCCTAAATTGATTAGGTACTATACGGAACAATATGTTATACTAATACTACTTATACAACATTGTAGCCATTGAGCATCTTAACGTTAATAAGGAAGTGCGCTATTAATTGCAATGCACCATGCAAGCCTCAGCTAAAGCTTGTCGAATGATTATAGCAATAAAATATTGGAAAAAGTTTGAACGCACTTATTTGACATCGATTTCCTTGAAAAGGAAACAAGCACTGGCAAAAGAAACCATTTTCCTTAGCTTTACAGATTCCACGATTCATACATGGATTTCCATTACAAGGTGAATCTATTCGATATTGACAATCTATATTAGATATTTTATATGGGGTCTGAAATCTTGTATAAACGTTCATTATTCCAATTCTATTCTGTAGCAAATGAAAAAAGTACCGCTATAGTACCATAGATTTTGTAATATTAGCCACTATCACAATTACTTTCTTAAATGTTAAACTGATTATTCTATGCCATAGACTTTTACTGGTAAGCTTATAGCATACCTTCAAGACCCATCACCACTATAACTAATTAAAATCGTCACAGATATGTGCGTGCACATAGCATGTTTTATAAGAATTGATAAACAATTTCCGTTTTAGAGTAAAAGTAACAGTTCAAAGCAATATTTTTGGTTTTATTGGAAATTATACGTACATAATTTACACGTTTTGCCAGTGTATGGGAATGGACAATGGCAGGAATAATTGGCACCACCACCTTGGCTTATGCAAGTACCGTTATTACGACAGGGATTAGATGAACAGGCAATGGCTATAATAATAAACAGTAGAACACGAAATTAATTTGAGTATTTAAGGCATAAAAAATTTATTAAGGATGCTCTACACTCGGGTTGTTAACATTTTCAAAAGGAGAAAGCTTTTATAGGAAAATTTCTCAATATTATAATCTTCCATTTACTTGTTTCACATCTTTCTCCGGAATATGGATAGGGGCAGCTACAATTATACGCTTTATTGTTGTAGTAGGTCGTGCAAGTTCCACCATTTTGGCATGGATTTAGGCTTGAACATAATTGGGTATCTGGGTGAAGAAATGATGAAAGCGATTAAAAAAGTTGAAAAATAAACAACCTAATTAAAGACCTAAAATTTTAAGGTCTATCACAAGTAAATATGAAAAAAATTCATGCATATTGAGATCATCATGAGTATAGTGTACTGTAGCTGATCATATGCTTTCTTATAACTGCTTTTTACGGAATACACAATAATGAGAACATTTTAGTAACTTTTTAAAATTTTATTTATCTTCAGTTCTTTGAGCATTGTAGTATATGTTTCATTATAGTTCGATTA